AAGAGAGTAAAAAGCATGCTCTACTCTCAGACGGGATCTGCACACAGCTGTTGCCACGAACGTCACACTCGCTTACGTCACTGTCATGAGACACTCTCACAAACAAAATCATGGCTTAGTAACGCAGTACTAAAAGTAACGGGAAAGTAACAGTAATCTAAAAATTTTTTAGCAATAGTAATCCCTTACTTTACTCGTTACTTATAAAAAGTAATCAGATTACCGCATTACTGCCCATCTCTGGTCCCGACTCTGAGTGTTCACCATTGAGCCACACTTAAGTTAAGCTGCACCATCAGTTGCAAAGCCTACAAATTGTGCATCTAACTTTTCTTATTATTATTCTAACTAACTGAAACAACAGCTCTTGTGCAAAAACCCAGAGCAGTGCATGCAAACATGTGGCACAGTAACAGTATCTTGATTAACAGTTGGATGGCTCGGGACATAAGGCTTATATCATAAGCATATTATTCTCCTTCAGTTTCCTCTCATTAATCTGAACTCCCACTCTTTTTACTTTCAGAAACAAAAAAAACATTAAAATTTATGGTTCAAATGCACAGGGCAGGTCAGGAGAGAGCAGTAAAACAGTGAGTGTCTACAGGCATCTGTAAAATACGACAGGCTCTGTGATGGTTTGGCGCTACATTTCAGCCTGTGGTGTTGGAGATCTTGTCAAAATTGAGGAATTATGAACACAGAAAAGTATCATCAGACTTTCATCCACCATGCAAAAGAGTCTGATTGCCAGTGGTTAAAATTTTCAGCATGGCAGTGATCCCAAACACAATGCCAATACAGTAAAATCATACTTTACTTACAAAGTGTAACTATCAGTCATGGATTGAACTCCCCAGAGCCCAGACCTCAACATTATTGAAGCAGTGTGGGTTCATGTTGACAGAGAACAGAACAAAAGGCAGAAACATCCAAAGAAGAGCTTTGAATGTCCTTCAAGAAGCCTGGAGAACTATTCCTGAAAACTACTTAACGAAATGACAAGAAAGCTGCCTAAGAGAGCTCAGACTGTGCTGATTGTGACCTACACCCGTGGTCACACCTAATATTCACTTTCAAGCTCGTTAGAATTGTACAAACTCTAGTTGTCATACATACAGTGTTTCCAAGTACATTTTTACGTTTCGGTAAATTGCAGCTCCTATTTCTGATTTACTTAGAAAAATATAAAGAAAAGAGTCAGTTCAAGACTTTTGAACAATACTTTATGCACATTGTAATATTGTAGACCAGCTAGTCAAAGTGTTACGCTAACCACTCCCAGGTCATTGGAAGTCATGTTTATGGATTTTGAAAGATGTTCATACTGTTTATATGTTTACATTTAGCCAGCTAACAGTGTTTTGTAGTTATATAAAAACTTTGAATTGCACCTGATTAACTTTGATTTGTAGTTGGAGGAGGAAACATCTGTGGTCCCTTTGTTCCCCCTAGTTGCTGTCATCACACAGAGCTGCTGAGTGTCAGATTAATGCTCTTCAGCATCTGTGTTTTTTCCTTTGTTTGTTTGTTCCCTAATATGCTGCCTTCTACACTCAGGCAGAACTTTAACTGAAGATTTAATCCTTCAGTTAATCCTGGGTGGAGGTGGTGGCTGTAAATACTTTAACTTTGCATAACATCAAAAAATGTGCTTTTAGAATCTTAACTTGTCCTGAGTGTTTCCTTTATTTGTACATACTGTTAGGTTCACAACAGAGTTTTTAAAGGAAAGTGTTCAGTGTTTGTTCAGCTAAAAGATTTAAAGGGCAGAATAAACTACATTTATATTTCATTAATAAACATATGTAATAGAGCATTGAAGAGAAACATCAGTTATCTGATACCTGTAGACTTCAGAGTATCAGAGACACACTTACACATCAGCCTCAAAGTCTCCACTGATGAGAAACTCCATCAGCTCTTCAGCATCTTTGTGCTGTTATTTTCCTGATCACAAGAAATAAAAATCAAAAACTGTAAGACTGTTGTGTTACTGTGAGCTCAAAGACTGTTATTGTCTATTATTACAGTGGCTTTAATCCTCACACAGAATCTCACCTGTTCCTCTCTCCACCACATCACATCATGCTGAGTGTGAGCAGCTTCATTTTCTGTGACAGAGGAGTAAATTTCCTGTTAAAGCATTGTAGCAGGTGACATGGTCTAAAGAGTGCAGCAAAACATGGAAAATGTCAATAAATTAATTGTAACAGATTTATTTATTTTGTAATGTTTTCTTATTATTATTATCAATGTGCTTCTGCTCTACTGCAGTTTAATCCGAATTTAAAGAGCTAAAAAGAAAGAAAAAAGGCTGTGAACATGTACATTTAGTCACACACACAAACAGTTATCACAAGAAAAACTAAACAATAGGCAGCCTACTTCTTCTGTTTAAAACAACTCAAACTGCCCGTTTGAGCCGGTCGAGTTCGCCAGACAACCTATGTGAGTGTCGAAAACGGAGAAAAGAAACACACATGGATGTACACGACAATAAAGAGAGACGAAACACAAGGACATAGTACTAGACACCCCCCCACACACACACACACACACACACACCCCCACACACACACACACACACACACGAGCGCAAAGGGAACCTAATAGATAAGAGAACATAAACCAGAAAATACAAATACACTCAGAGACATAAAATGGACTAAACTCAATACTAACTGTAAAAACGTCCCTTCCTTCAGATATCCACTGTACCCTCCACAGACGGCGGGTTTGATGCGAACCAAAGCGGCCTAGTGTGCTGTCCTTCCACAGAAACAGTCGAAAAGTAAAGTTTCTACAGCTTAAAACCAGTCCGCCTCTTACCTGAATCTTACCTGTATGGTACTAGTTCATTGTGTCCGCTTCTTTTGGGTTCGTTTCTCTCTGTGTTAATCCATAGTATAGTAAAAAGAACAAACGCCGGCGTGACGTTTTCCTTTCACTTTTCTTGATCAGGAAGTAGGAAGTACTTATAGGATTCACCAGATGCCACCGCTGCAGGCAAACTAGGTCATAAATCGCCACTTTTCCAACCCCTCTGGTAAGAAAAAAGATGATGTAAAAGTCGCTGTTTAATAATCAGGCTGTAAAACTCTGTAAAGTCTTTTAGCTGCAGGAATAGTTCTTCAATCAATCAAATTAATTTCACTTTCACATGCTAAAGAGATTCTTTATCACACTGTGGGACAGTAACCTTTCATGTGCAGCTGTCATTTAGTGCGGAAGAACGGTCACGTGACCCCTTTCCCAGCT